CAGCTCGGGTTTGCGAGGGGTCACCCCCGAGGGCCGCCGCCGCCGTGCCACATGGCTGCGTGTGCGGTGGCTGCGAGGCCTTGGGTTACGCTCGGTGCGAAAGCAGACGGGGTCAAGTTACGCTGAGGGCGTGACGTGACCGAGCAGGGAGCGCCGAAATGCCGGAGGTATTGTAAGGTGCTCCTGTTTTTGAAGGAAAGTTGCTCGTCCTTTGTCTCGCAGTATCTGTGCTTTCGTGTGGGGGGCTGCTGCTTGCTGGAGTTCTTCCCTGGCTGCAGTTTCCTGGAGCCAAGGTGTGGTAGTGCTGCTGCTTCCTTCGGCAAAACCAGTTATTTCACTCTGTAACGCGTTTGATTTTAGAGGGAGTACACTCTGCAGTGGAATAATGGGGAGGGTGATTAGAAGGGAAGGAGGAGTACAGGAAAATCTCTTGTCCCTAACGTTTCTTTACTGAAAAAAAATTAATGACAAGAAGTCTAACTCTGTAGGTCTGTGTGTTATCTTCAGAGCATCAAGGGTAAGCTAAGTTGTCAACCAGAAGCAGATGGCAGTGGGGAACCACCCTTCAGAGAACTTTAAAAAGATAAAAATGCCAAAACTAAAAATATCTTCTCACATGTTAATATAACTTTCCAAGTTCATAAATTAGCCAGTTCACAGGTACGGGATGCTGTTGGGCATACTGCCTCTCAACAAAGCAGCTCAGCAATCAGCACAAGTTTTTCTTTGCTGTTCAGAGGTGTTTCCCCCAAGCTCGCAGGGCGAGCCAGTTGCTGGGCCGTCAACTGATGTGTTACAGCTGGGAGGCGGGAGGAAGGTGCCAGACACTTTGGGGAACTGAGCAGACGGATGATGATGCCGTGTCGAGGGGAGTGCCTCTGCTGTACTTCTGAAGGAAGATAGTAAGTCACACAGTACTCGTGTACATAACCACTGAATTTTTAAGTGGCTAGGGAAAAAAGAAGGTACACTGAATCGAAAACATTCCGATGAACAGACGGCAGGCTCTTGTTGATTTAAGGCAAATGCAAATTGTTCTTTTTAAAGATGACTTTTGCATTCCTACTAGTACAGTAAAATGCAGGACCTCCCTTTTCAGTTCGGGCTAGTAATGTGTGATTATTGTTACGTTAACTCCCTAATGGTATATAGAGTACTGTCTCTTGCTTGTTTGTGCTCGTTTTAGTGAGATTGTTTTTTTTAAAGATGCGTGATTCTGGTTTCTGTTGGGTCACAATAAATACCATTTGTTTTTTGCTGGTTTTGCTGCAACTTAGTAATATGAAATTAAACAGAGAAAGTGATATGTATAAATTAATATCTTGTCAAAATTTAGTGCATTTTCTATTGCTTTTGACGCTGTTTCCTAAGGTTCTGTGGGCTCAGTTCTTTTTGTTGTTGGTGTTGCCTCAGTTGGAATATTTGGAAGGTAATTTTCTGCGGTCTGTAATTATAAGGCGTCTCTCATCAAGCACTTTGTCTTAAAATGACTCAGAACTTGTCGTCAGTCCTGTTCTGAGTTGCTGCTGACCTTTCCAGAGAAGGAGAGTGAGAGAAGGTACTGACACAGGAAGTGTTTGGGCGGCCACGTGACCTGCCAGCGATAGCAAAACATTGCAGAATGGGTTGGAGGCCGAGTTCTTAGTTCAGACTGCCAGTGGCTATTTTTATCGTTACCTTGCGCTTTGGCGATTTGAGGAGCTGGGGTTGTCACACTGAGCTAAGTACTTTTTCCTCACCTCTCCTCAGCAGCTCTCCTGACTGCAACAGTCACTTCACAAAGTAATGTGGAGGCACTTGTGGATAGTGATATTTGATACTGAATATCATGTCATTGTGTACTGGAGGGGTGCTGCGTTTGATGCTGATGTTTGGAAGCTGGCTTTACTGAAGTTAGGGAATTGATTGGAGCAGCATGTGCACCAGCCTGAATTGCTCTTTTGGCCTAAATCAGTTCCCCGAGAAGCTACCCAACAGGTTTGTTATGGAGGCCTTTAATGAAGGAAGATTCCTAAAAAAGCAGTAAGAGGAAACATGGACAGCAAGAGTGTTGATCCAAGTATGCATAGTTGTGCTCCAAATTGAAGAGTAATGGTGTATATTCATTTTTAAGTGTCTCTAGAACGTCTGTCATATTACTGTTGTGTAGTTTGGAAGTTTGAGAGTGCAAGCACTCTTGTTTAGCAAATGGCATGCTTTCCCTGGGGTGTTTAATCCAGTCAAGCGTGCTCTGTACAGTTAGTGATGCAGAAAGCAGCACGCATTTGCTTTGAGGAGCTTTAAGACTATCAAAAGAGAGCACAGAATGCCTTTTTGCAGATCCAGAGGCAGTTTGTTGTTGTTGTAATTGGGCGTTTAAGAGGAGAGGAGATGAGTATATAAAGTAGAAATTGTACAGAAATTGAAAATGGCTTTTAGTCAGTGCTGTCACGTGAAACACTGCATGCAGAGGTCTGCTAATCCCAGTGAGACTGCAGTCTTTCCATGCACTTCAATTTCTCTGAAACTCCGGCTGAAGTTGGAAGCGGAGTAGCTGGAGGCACTTGCAAGACTGCAAAGTGTTACAGCCTGAATCAGTTGGATTTGTGTGATGTGCCACACCTTCAGCACTGTTGTGCAAATCGTGTAATTATGAAAAGTACTCTGGAACAGCTCAGATGTGGTATTTCTCAACAACTTTTCATAGACTCGTGAAACCACAGGGAGCTGTGCCTCACCGAAGTGAGACTGCAGTCTTCTAAGCACACCTGTGCAAGTCCGAAGAGTTTTTCCAACTTTTTTTCCTGCATGGCTGAGGATTCATCAGTTCTCACTGGACTCATGGATTGTTCAGTGTAGAATTTGAAGGTCTTTCTTTAGAAGAACAGTTGTAGACAGATAGGATTGTGTCTGCCGAAATGGAGATTCGGCCTTTTCTTTTTTTAAAGGGGAGTTGTGCTTCTGAAGTATGCTTAAAACTGTTGCTTTTCAGATCACGGTCAGTTGAATACATGTTTTTTCTTAAATAATGTAGTTTTGTTAGGTGAAGAGCAGTTCTGGCTGTATACTGGCATTTCCTGTAAAAGCAAAAAAAAAAAAATTTTGATTGGCATCTGTTTCTTGCATTCTAACTTCTGGTGAAGAAGAGCTGTAATTTCACAGTTGGTCGGAAACATACCTTGTGGCATTGGCAGATGACACCAGGACCGTAAAAAGCACAGAGGAGAGCTAGCATGAAGGGGGGTCTTTGAGGCCTGGTGAATGATGATTGTGACAGAAATCCGTATGCTGAACTAATGACATTTTTTCTGTGTTTGAAGTAATTTACTAAATTACTTAGTAAATTCAGTTAGTTCAGAATAACCCTGAACATCACCAAATGCTTTATTTATATGTGAGAGCAAGTGTTTTGGGCTGAGCAGGAGAAATTTTCAAGAGCATGATTGTACTGGGTCAGACTGCTTTTGGTGGGGTTTTTTTTTCCACCCCACCCCACCCCTCCGTCAGCTTTTGGCTTTGTTTTCTCAGTTAAGTCAGCTACACTGTTCTCCTTTCATCGGAGTGGGTAATGGCATTCTGCCGCACTGTGTGTTTTGGCATTGGACTGTTGCAGTCAGTGCCAAAACAAATACACTATAAAAGCTCAGGTACACAGACTTTAACCGTCTTGGCTTTCCTTTTAATGTTGGCTCCTCGTTAGTGTTTCTTCTCCGTCTTCATGAGTATATGCCTCTCCGTTTGCTTTTTCCTGTTTGTTAGTAGAGGTCCTCACTTCCTCTTTCCTTCCATTCTCGCTGGAACATGGGAGAAGGAGAGCGAGCTCACTGAAGCGGGAGAGGGGTAAATTCTGTTTGGTCAGCTGCGTGTAGACTCGGGGTAAGCTTGTGGACAGTGTGTGGACCTGATGGTCGGTATGTGTGAGGGTCTCTGTCACCCTGCATCTGGAAAGTGGATTTGGCCTGGAAATTACAAGATTTAGTATGAAAATTAAATAACAAAAGAAGTATTTGTGTAAAAATTATCTTTCATTCAGTCACTTAAATTTAATTTCAAAGTCTTTCGTCTGTTTCTCTGGGTCAGTGCAATGCCGGAATGCTTGTTAGTAACTCTGCAGACTTTGTAGGTTGTTACATCTCCTCAAATTCGTTTCCTGGCTGTCTTGCTTGAAGAAGTAAAGCTTGTTAGGTTTGGGTTGGTTTTCTTTTTTCAGACTGAGTCTTGTTTTGCTTAAAACTGTAAGTTTTTTCCCCCCCATGCTCACCGATGCGTGAGCTAACGGTGGGGCTGTAGTTGTCTCTGTGTGATAAGGCATAGTGCTTTGGAACAGATTCTGTTAGAAGATGCGCCTTTACTGGAGGTCTAGTGAGGGTCTCAGTTTCGCACTCATAAACTAGACCTGATTTTCCTTTTAATTGCAAAAAGGGGGAGTCTTTGTTTTTAAATACTTGGTATCTTTTAAAAGTCAATAAACTGAAATGGATGGTGATTGATATTTTCTAGATTTTCTTTTTAAAAATTTGTTTACACTCAACAAAATCACAATCTGTCACAAAACCTGAATGTTAGCTGAGGAAAGAGAGTGCTTCAGAGGAAAGAAGTAGTCAGACAGTTAATATATTGCCTTTGTTTAGAAACTAGATTAATCTTCATGATGATTTTGAAGGACGAATTTTGCTACTGACTGTTCCAAAGGATTTTGTCATCTAACTAAAAAGCCATGTTTTGAAATGACTCCTCAAAGCGCAGTGTATGGCAAGGAGATGGGATAGTCCGAGGCACTGGGTAGGTGCGATGGGTAAGGCACAGCCAGGTGTGCAGGAGAGACACACGTGTGCATGCAGACCCTTGATTTACCCCCAGATTAGTGCCAATCTCATTACAGCTGGTTTAAATGTAAGCAGGTTAATGATTTTCACCTGCCTCTCCTTAGCCCTTCAAGATGTGTGGGTGTTAAACAAGATCAGTGGTCATTCTTGCACTGTTTTTCTGGTTGTTGCAAGGTGCTAAGGCCCACGGAGTTAGAGGAGTTATTTTTTTTGTCACGTCTGTGTCTGAGGTTCATAGAGTGGAAGTTTCCGACCTAGTGTTTGGAACGCAAGGAAGCTTTGAGCCATTCTGCATTGGGTCAGTGCCGCTCACTTTGTTTAGTAACCTGTTCATGCTTTGCTTTCTGTTTCAACAAGCATTCGTTACCTGGGTAAAAAGTGGTTAAAGGCCATTAATTTAAATAATCCATGGAGGTTAGAAATTGCAATTTAATCAGAAATTGAGATCTGAAAACTAGTTAAGCCTTTTCCAAGTTTTGTTTTGAGAGGAAGCAGTTTTTATTGTAGAGTGAATTAGAATAATGTCTGATAAAATATTAATTGTTTTGTGGTGTCCTGGTTATGGGATCAGTGTAAGATTTTGTGTCCTTCATGACAAATTTCTTTGGTTATAAGAGGGTGTTTTAGACCGTACATGACACAATGAATATACTTACCATTCAGCAGGCTTAACTGATATGTCAAAGCAATCCTTTGGAGGTTGGGGTTTTTTCCTCCCATTGGAGTACCTTGCATAATTTTGGATCTTGTAAACGTAGTTATGAAATGTCTTTGATAGATTTTATTACTAGTTTAAAGCTAATCACAATAGCCACAGGCAGCCTGGCCCAGTAAGGTGATCCTTCTGGAAGTTAGCCCCTGCAGCCCTGTACTGCAAGCAGAGAGCTGAACTCTGAAGCGAGGTGGTACTGTCAGGCTTGGGGGTGGGGGCTGGAGGTCCTTGTCAATGCCAGGCAGGCAGATAAGGACTTTTTTAAGGTAATTCGTAGGTACAGCATTTAGGATTCTGTGTGAATGTGAGCGTCTGCTTGTGCATGTCAAAATGCAGGTGAATTTTCACTAGATAGCCATGACCCTTCTTAGGACTCTTTTATTTTTTTTAACCTTTGGTTCATAAGGTTTTCATTTGGTAATGGTTTTGTCACTGAGCATTTGATTTCTTTTTTGTTCACAGGGATTGTTAGTAATGTCTTTTGCTTACTGTTGGGGAAGTGGGAATGAAATAGTGGGGACTACAAACAGGTGAATTAATTACTAGGTTATATAAAGAAGCAAGAAGCCTTCTTGCTGTCTTTCTCCTCTTTTCCCTTCTATTTCCAGCTTGAATGTTTTGACCTGAGATTGATTGCTCACTGACTGAAGAAGATTCTTTTCCTTAAGTGTTTAAAAATTACGTTACACTGTTGGCTTTGCTGTGCTTGTTCTGGCCTGCTGTCTGAAAATGAATATCTGTGTGTCTCACTCTGACATAAAGATTGAATAACTTTTTTTTCTTGGCATGCTGCTACTATAATGAGGAACAATATCAGTGGGGGCTAGAAAGTATTTAATTGTAAAATATGTGTGTGTATGTATTATATTTAAATTCAGATACTAATTAGTCAGCAAAGTGGCCAAACCACTAGAAATTGTTTTTAGAATGTAAAGGAGAAATAGAGCCAATAATTTTTTAAAAAATGCTTTTGGCCATGATTGTTCAGTAAAATAAGCCTGCTATTGATATCTTTTTTTCTTTTTCTAATGCATGTTTTCTCACTGTTGCTTTCCAGTAGGGTGTGATTTGCATGGTATGTGCAGGAGGGTCAACCTCTGACACTTCTTGACCTGAAGTTTGACATGACATGTAGAAAGACTAAATTGCCAAAAAATCTGGCGCCCCTGTAGCCTGCGAGCTGAGCATATGTGTGACTGGTAGTGCTAAGTGACCTTGCTCCCTTCTTTCTTTCCCGTAACGAAAGCAGCAACACAGCGTGCTCTGGGTGCTGTAGGTGACCTGGCTTCGGTTTTCTGCCTTTCCCCCCCAGTTTGTTTAACCACTTCCTCAGGAACCAACGCGACTGCTTATGCTGGTCGAAAGAAGTTTTCCTGACCTACCAGTCTGCTTGTCCACTGCTGGATGAAGAATATAGGCAGATAAAAAAGCACGCGTGTTTGAACTTCCAAGTTTTTCAGTGTGGAATTCGGGTTGTGTAATCAAAATACCGAACCATAAGCCAGTGTGGTTGAGCCTACCCCAGGAGGGGAATTTCGTGCAGACGAACCTCATCACATTGTTTTCTGACAGGCGTTCTTCAGTGTTAGGGATGTGTTGGGGACTTCAGTGACCTACGTATTCTATGAAACATTGCTCACCTACTACCTGTGTTTTATATTCTTGCTGAGTTGTTGTTTAGTATGTCTGAATTACAGGTGGTTTTCCATTGTAATACAGTGATTCACTGTAACCATCTGTGAAATTTCTCAGACTGAGCAATGCTTTTATTTAGTGACATAGAGGAGGCAACCATGTGTACTGTTACGCAATTGAGCACAAGTAGTACTTGATTTCGTAAGGTCACTCACAATCACAAAATGACTTATTACTTGTTTTCTCAGTAAAAACTTAATATTTCTGGTTTTGGCTGAAAGATAATAGCTGAAGACATAATTGGTGTTTTTCCTCAGCTCTAAAGTGAGGGTAGTTTGTTTCTTTACTTCTTTCTGTCTTCTTCAGAGTCTGTTTGAATGTGATTTGAGTCAGGTTGAGACTTGATACTGTTAAGACTGCGATTCGTTGTGCATCTCTTTGTTATGAGGGTATGGGTGAAAGAATGGTGAACGTTTTTGTGTTGTTTGTAATGCTTACCAGGAAACTTCCTTCCTTGTAAATTCTCTTGCTTTGATTTAAATGTAATTTAAATTTCATCTTTTCTTATCTTTTCCTCTAGCATGTGGGTGTTAGCTGATTTTAAAACAAAACATTTTAAATGGTATAATTAAAAACCATTTCCCCTTCTGTCTGGTTTCGTTTTGACTAGAATGCTGTTTTTCTAAAATAGGAAATAAAGACCTCTAACACATGAAACTTATGTAAAATATTGTTAAATAGAATATTTCTTTTTAAAATACCAAACAGTTTAGAACAAGTTCAGTCCATTCATGAGCTTCTTGTAATGGGGCTGAGGGTAGGGTAGGGAGAAGAGCTTTGTATGAAATGAAGTTTAAGTACAAATGGGAATACTCTTCAAAATCTAAACAGTAAACCAGCTGGCTTGTGAGTAAGGTGTAGAACTTGTCCCTAGTTTTCAAAGCCTATAACGTTCCTTTTTCCTGTATTCTCTGTCTAGAATGGGCCTTTAGCCTAGTCAAAGGTCTCAAAAATACTCTTGTAACATTTGCTTCCTTTTTCAGTCACCTGGTTTTCATTACAGTTACTTATCTGCAGTTGACAAGCCTGAAGTACTTAAAATGTAGAGCAGATACTTTTATCAGATATGTATACAGTTTAAACACGCCACTCCCCACCTCCCCCCCAAGAAAATCCAGCCCAAACAGAAAACAATCAGCAACCACAGGTGCCTAACTCAGTATTTAAGTTCTGGAATTTACTGCTAGATTATAAAATATTGGCATTCTGCTTGCACTTCGTGTGCTTCTGTGTATGTTAATACCTGTCCTGTCTTACAATTTTACCGGCATGTTTAGGTGAGATTCTCGTTTCAGTATTTTTGATTCCTCCTGAATGCAAACAGACAGTAGGGTCAGATAATCGAGCTTGCACGTCTGCTCGTAGCAACTGCCCTTTCAAGTACACAAAAGAACATGAAGTCAGAAACTGGGAACATGACCAGTTGTGTTAATACATGTGTACTAAGTACTAAGTAACTTATATTGCCTGTTACGAATTTTTACATGCTGCCTGTAAAAATACTGACTTAGCTGGAGGACACCTGTATTTTTTTAGGCTTCTTTGATTCTGCTAATAAAGTGTTTTTTCAGTGCCTGAGTGTCTGATTCTGCACATAGCCAGATGTCCTGCAGTCTTGACTGATGTTATGCGATGAGTAAGTCTTCTAATTTTTGCTCTGAGAAGCTGTTTTATTGTATATGATGGATTATAACTTGAGTTTATGGGCCAGAAGGAAGGAGTGCACATGGCTCTGTAGTGTTGTGATTTGGATAGTTCATTTTAAGTGGAAAATCCTTGGTTCTACTCTCAAAAAACGAGAGTACAAGCTAGGCTTGGTGAAAGTCGCACTCTTGCTTTGTCTTGCTGTTCCCTGAATAACTGCTTATTTGTGGAAAATGCCATCTTTAACTTAAGGAAATGTCTGTCAGTCCTCCCTCAGCACTTAAGAGTAGTCTGGAAGGAAGGCCTTCCAAGGGCAGGAGGAGTGTGCATTAAACTTGAGGCATTCACGTCTTGAATAAATCGGTATTGCATGGAGAAAACTCCTCTGCTGGTTTATTCAGCCTTTGAGCAGATGTTGTGCCTGCATCCACAGGGAGTTCCAGAGCTGTGAGTTCCAGCGGTGGGCAGAGCCTTTTTGCAAGCCCAGCACGTAAGCCCAGAGGAGGGACAACATCCCACATGTTTATCCCCTTGGTACTTCTCCTGGGCTAATAATCATCATCTTCAGTAGTTCCCTACTTAGTCACCTACAAAAGCCAGTATTCTCTCTCGGATGCCTGGTATGTCTTCTGTATTGCATGTGGGGAATTGTAGGTGTTTAATTCAGAGCTCTTTTGGCAAGCCACCTTAAGCGTTTTGTGTAGAGTGCTGAGGTCTGGGATGTCCTACCCTTGCCTGCAAGTGAACTGACATAAAGACCAAAAGTCTTAGGGCTAGTAGGCTCAGTTCTGATCTGTGATGCTGAAATTCTTTTGGTAAATGATGCAATCTCTCATTCTCCATTTTTCGATGTGTAACATGGAAGTGGGCTCTCTGAGAAATGCTCTGAATCCTGTGGCTGAAAAATTCTACATTTGA